ATTTGGTTGGTCAAGACTTTGGAACATGACAACTCTGCTTTTAATTGAGGTATAATGTTTAAACTTGATGTATATGTTCATTGGGCGAATGTCTTGACTGAGTTCAATTAACATTTCGAGCTAAAGCTAAGCAGTGCAAAGCAATTTCTTTGGTCGATGCTTTGGGGCAAGATAACGTTGATTCTATCTGACAGAGTGATGAAACTTAGTGTATAGTTTGATTGCTCGATACTTTTGAAAAAAATAAATGCGCGATTAATTAATATGTTCCATCTATTTATTTTGGGATTTCGGCGGGGGACATCAGCTTGTTGTTTAAAAGTGGAAAATTAATAATTAGCCTACGTCATTCGGCGGCGCTAGAGCAATTTTAGACATCATAAGAAGAGAGGTACAACAGTACCCAGTCCAATCTGTTTAACAGAGATCTTCTAATATCTCTGTAACAGATGACTGTTTCGACACGTGACGTCACATCACGCGGCGTCAATCATTGGCTCAATAGCGCGTGCATTGTTTACATAAGACGTTACTGATTCGGGCTAAAATGTGAATACCCATTTACACTAAATAGGAAATGATTTTTACCTACAAACAATTCAAACGTCTTTATTTATTTTTCTAATAAATGATAAAAATGTTTTAGAATTTAATTTGACGGAAGAAAAAAGTTAATATTTGGGACTCATTAAGTCGCATCGATGTCATCCTTATCAGTGATTGTAGCGGCCTGGAGAAAATTCACCGCTGACCAGTGTGTACCCAGTCCAGAGTCACACAGACTATTAGTAGATCAGACCAAAATAAAGATATGTGGCAGTGGTGGTGCTACATATCATTGAGTCAACTGGCGTGGTTTTGATTCCCCGGATATATTTTGCTGTGTTGTTGAAGACGTTCATTATAATTAATATTATTAGTAGCATTATCCATTGTCCAATTCCCGTACTGTTGAAGCACCCCTTTACTAGAACATATTATTATTATTATTATTCTACCTTTTTTAATATAGTTCAGACTTCGACTTAAGCCTGGTGATATGATCACCTTCCAGAACAGACGACTTATGCACGGTAGAACTGGATATGTTTCTAATGGTGGACTACGTCACCTCCAGGTAATTAACCTACTCAATCACACGTCTACTGTAATGGTTGAAAGGGTTATGGTATATTCTCATGAACGTTATCTGGTCATGTGATCCACATATTAAGCCTACAAAACAATGAACGTAATCTGGTCACACGATTGTCATGTTAAACGGCGTTTTTGTTCTCAAAGGATATTTCTAATGAATGAATGAATGAATGAATGAATGAATGAAAGAAGCTAAAAGTCATACTTTCGGATACAACTGGGAATTTATTATGACAGGAAACAAATAAGAAAACTCAAGTAATTCATCAATACATTTCACAACTTCATTTTTACAGTGCTTCAATCAGTTTCTTACATTGATATTAGCGAGCATGGTTTGGTCACATGAGAAATGAATGTAAAAAGTTTCAAGATGTGACTAAAATTTCACCCTTATGTCACTTCGGCCTGACAATCGGCAGAGCCTTGACAAAACATTTGAGTATTTTTTTCTGTTTTGCTTTTGTCTTTTTATATGTGAGACCTTCTGGTATAAGTCTATAAACCCGACATTGATTAGTATTGTTTATTCGTTATATTACAGGGAGGTTATATTGTGTATTCGTTATATTACAGGGAGGTTATATTGTTTATTCGTTATATTACAGAGAGGTTATATTGTGTATTTGTTATATTACAGGTAGGTTATATTGTTTATACAGAGATGTTTTAGAGTTTAATGGTTATTTATATTACAGGGAAGCTATATCAATATTGATGAATTCAGGAGTATGTTGATTTACCTACAGAATACAGTTGGTGATGGTTCACCAATCAGACGAATAGGTTTAATCGATATGTATTAGATATTGGATAATTTATTTAGGAAAATACTTCTTTGCCTCGTACATTGTTTATTTATTAAATGCAGATACATGTACCGGTATCTATATCTGACAGGGGGTGAATAAAATATCCTAACAAAATTGTAAATTGGTCAATATTAAATTTATTTCATGATTAACTATGTCAAATATTTTCTTGAAATAAAAGAAATATCACACCACACAGAAAGCGTGGAGTACATAGTAGTGGGTCTTGTCTACAGGCCCTTTTATGCGCTGAAAACGTTGCGCATGCGCAGGTCATCACCTTCGTAATGAAGGTCATAACATCATATGTACGTCATTTCTCGGGATCCCCCCACGCCCCTATTTTGTCGGGATTCCTTCCCTTTTTAGCTACCTTTTCTCGGGAACCCTTCCGATTTCTTGTACTTTACGCCGCCCCCTCGCGCCTCCCTTGCTCGTACTTTTTCTTGGTTTTCTCGGCATTCTTTACCTTTTGAGTTCTCTCGTACATTCAGGCCCTTTCCTTTCAACAAAGTTTGCCCCAAGTCCTTGCGGCTTTCTCCCCTCTCGTATGTGTTTCGTAAAAAAATTAAAACGGTCACATTTCATTGATCAACAAATCAATAATATAACGCGAACGTATTTGTATTTTTGAATGGAAATACTTCATCCGGGACTTATTTTATTTACAGATGTCCCTCTAAATGATAAAATCAATCCCGTTGCGATTGACCCCATAGAAACTTTAACAAGGTTCAAAAGGTCACATGAGAAGAAAATATATGAAATTCTGATAAATTACATTTGAATTTCTTTAAATATTTGGTATATGGTATAATGAGCCATCCGATAGTGCCGCTGCCCGGGCAAAATTTCCCTCATAGCACACTGTATGGCGTATGCCCGTCTTCATTAGCCCAGTATAGGAGCAGGACAGTAGGACGTTAAACTCCATTTCATTTCATTTCATTTTGTTGCTTCCATATAGACTAGAATATGAACAGAAGGACTAAACCAGCGGCTGCCAGTCAGGATACGCCCACATTTTCGAGAGATGGATAGAGAACAAGCTATAAAGAAAGCGATTTTTCGTACAATCAGGGGCCATAATTCAGGAAGTAACGGTCCGATATGGGCGAATATCGAAAGTAGCCAAGATCCTTGGGTTATAAACTTACATTTCAAGTTTCAACAAAATCGGATAAAAATTGTGACCTCTATAGGGTCCACAACCTTGATATACCATATTTTTACGCTAATTGAGAACGAACGGCGGCCATTTTGTCTGTCAATTTTGGGCCGATTTTCATGAAATTCAAACTCATCGTCCTTAGGGTGTAACGGTGATATCAAAAAATACGGTTTTTTAAATCGGATAAAAATTATGACCTCTATAGGGTCCACAAGCTAAAAACGCGATTTTTCGTACAATCAGGGGCCATAATTCAGGAAGTTACGGTCCAATATGCGCGAATATCGAAAGGAACCGAGATCGTTGGGTTATAAACTTACATTTCAAGTTTCAACAAAATCGGATAAAAATTGTGACCTCTATAGGGTCTACAACCTTGATATACCATATTTGTACGCTATTTGAGAACGAATGGCGGCCATTTTGTCTGTCAATTTTGGGCCGATTTTCATGAAATTCGAACTCATTCATCCTTAGGGTGTAACGGTGATATAATAATACGGTTTTTTAAATCGGATAAAAATTATTACCTCTATAGGGTCCACAAGCTAAAAACACGATTTTTCGTACAATCAGGGGCCATAATTCAGGAAGTTACGGACCAATATGCGCGAATATCGAAAGGAACTGAGATCTTTGGGTTATAAACTTACATTTCAAGTTTCAACAAAATCGGATAAAAATTGTAACCTCTATAGGGTCCACAACCTTCATATACCATATTTTTACGCTATTTGAGAACGAACGGCGGCCATTTTGTCTGTCAATTTTGGGCCAATTTTCACGAAATTCGAACTCAGCCATCCTTAGGGTGTAACGGTCATATAATAAAACGGTTATTTAAATCGGATAAAAATTATGACCTCTATAGGGTCCACAATCTAAAAACGTGATTTTTTGTACAATCAGGGGCCATAATTCAGGAAGTTACGGCCCGATATGCGCTAATATCGAAAGGAACCGAGATCCTTGGGTTATCATCTTACATTTCAAGTTTCAACAAAATCGGATAAAAATTGTGATCTCTATAGTGCCCACAAGCTAAAAACGTGATTTTTCGTACAAACAGGGGCCATAATCCATGAAGTTTCGATCCGATACGGACTCAGACTAGTAATTATTTGCCCATTGACTTCAATGTTAAATGGGTGTAACATCACAGGCTGTAGCGTTTTGCTCAACATTCCGTTGGTTCCAATCTCTATAGGCACAATGGGGACCCTCATTTGGCAATCTCCTCAGCATAAGCTTGACATATGGAAATATGAAGAGACAGTTGAAATCTATTTTTGACTATATAGCCGAAAATGTCTCAGAAATCAAAGTAGAAATTGATCAACAAATAGAAGATGTTTTGTATAACAGTTATGGCAATAGTCCCTTCTCAGGGACTCGTGGAAATTGACGTGGTCGGTACTGCAGAAATAATTACAAACGGCCATATAAAAATTACTCGTCACATACTAGGGAATTCAGAACCCAGACCATCCAATAGATATCCTCACCCCAGTGATGCCAAGTACGGAAAATCCTTTATATCCTTCTGTTAATCCCTCTAAGTGTACTATAACCATTCAAGTTGTCATTGGGCTAAAAACTGACCAGACCGTTATGAGGCAAGAACATTAGACATTTCGGGAGAGACACATGATTGTTTAATTGAAACATTTATAGCTGAAGCATTAAAATTCAGCCGTTTTGGATAGTGATTGTACACAAAATATTTGTGGCGAACTTTGGCTTTTCAATATGTCTGAATACCCAACAAGTGAAAAAGAAAAAAAAAGGGTCATTATGCTAAACAAGCAATTTGGACATCCAGGGAGAGATAAATTAGTGACAGGGGCAGGACTAGATGATAAGCCATTTATTTAGTTGAAAAGAGACATAGATACAACTTGTGTGATATGTAGGCAATACAAAATACCTGCATTACAACCCGTGGTAGGGTTGTACCTTGAACTTAAATACGATTAACGGTTCAATAGATTTACATCTTACGAGAAGGAGCCTGTTAAGCTGGGGAGCCAGAATTGTAGCGTTACATTATCGCGACGAGGATATTTTGTGGGTTATATAAGTGTTTTGTGGGTAAACATCACACAGTATAACACAAGGAAGTATATGAATAATTATGATTTGAACGAACAGTCTGGTTGGTGTACAGAATGTATGGTCTATATATAATTATACTGATGTAAACAGCTCAAACGATAGTTGAAAATAGAATAAAAACGATAGTTGAAAACAGAACAAACTATAGTTTAATTATCTCGCTCTGACTGTTATTTCCCATGTTTCGTGAAGAATATAACACTAGATTATATCAACCTGTTATTTGTATATGTTTGTAAGGTATACACATCTATACAGCGCTTTTTTATGTTGTTGTTGTGATATTGTTGTGTTCTTAAAGCGATAGTTGCATATTTTATAAGGACATTAAAGCATAATTATATCTAGCCCTTAATAGGCTGTCAAATAACTATACAATCATAGCACGACAAGCTCTCTTGTTTCTATACCGCTCAGTAGAATTGATAAAGATCAAAGTCTCAACTTGGAAATGATAATATTTGCCAATTTAGATACTGACAATAGTGAATTATAAGTTTAATATGATTAATCCTTAATAAGAAGGCAGAAGTGTGTTTTAAGTTTTTAAGTCCAGGTGTTTTAAGTTTTTATTTCAACATTATTACTTTACAAACATGGAACTGTCGCTTTTTATTAAAATAGAGCATTCAGTATTTTATCGGAAATGCACGGGCAGTATGCGGTATTGTAGTTAGTCTTAGCAGTATATATTTTATCGGAAACTCAGTCGTAACAGTTAAAAATTTCAGCAGTAGAGTGTTTGATTTGAAATAAATCCATATCAGCCGGAGGCTCAGCCATAGCAATACAGTACCTACTGGGAAACACAGCGTAGAAGAGTAATTTATCTGAAATGCAACTATTGTAGTACAGTACCTTAATCGTAGCAGTAGAGTACCATATCGGACACAACACCTATCTGTCGGAAATCAGAGGCATGTATGTGAGGTTGATGGAGCTCTTAATCTTCCTGCTTTAATATGTTGCCACACCAGCAAAGAAGATTTTCGCTGAACACCAATTCGATTCGGCATAGTCGCTATGATAAGCCCGACCCATATGTAGAAAAAATTCCCGCCTGGTCACCATTTCGCGTGGAGATTTATTAATAAAATTTGTTAATATAGGCTTTTTTGGTTTTAATATCTCCCGATATCTCGTAGCAACGGCATAATGCATCCGTAACCGATCATGACCACATCGCACTCCAACAACCACGGGCCAATTCTTCTTTATGTAACCAATAGCTTGATCTCTAATGTCATCACTATAGTTCCCAATTAGACTCCTCCATCCATTAGTATGGATAGTTACTTTTGGATTTCCCGATTTCTGATTTTCCTGGAAGAACGCATCTATTCTGTTCATTCTGTGCGGCAGTGTAACACTTTCCCCTGCTACACAAACTGACCCAAGAATATCATGCAGCATTTCGGTATAATCTACCATTTCCTCATTAAGGGATTGTGGGAAAAAGCTTCGGCGACCATCACACGTGTTGCAGCTTTTCGTTAATTTGAATAAATGATGACTTCCCGTGCCATAGAGTTCAGGTTTGAGATGTGATCGCCTGTTTAAATATCCGAACACCATAGCCCACGCAACGGGACCACAACCAACGCAACAGTTCTTCCAACATAACAAGCTTTCCGAGTTGTGCATCTTATGTTGCTTGTAGTTAGGAAATAGCTCTTCATCGTCGATTTGGTAGTATTCCTTAACCTGATCAACCACATAAGTAGATTTGATCAGCTTAATTTCACGGTTCGATTTCATGTTGGAAGGTACATTTGGTGAAGGTACGCCTGTAAGTGTAACATTTGTAATACCTTCTTTATCGGGGGAAAGCGTTGATAATACTGGTATGTACTGAGGACTTTGCTTGGTAATATATTCTTCACATTTTTCAGGAGAAACCAATGTTCGTACGACATCAACATTTGAAGTCGCCATTTTGTTACTGTTATATTTTATCCTAGATGGTCTACTGAATATAACTCAATAAAGTCAACTAGATTTTGTTTTCGGATAATGAGTCAGAACTGATTTATGTTTTTTTTTTATTAAAATCTATCATTAATATGTCGGAGTTTTCTTACTGTTCCTATAAGATACTATTTCAATTATATTCTCACCCTTTCCCGGACACCAGATGGGGATCAATTCATTTAATAATTTTTAGTTTCTACCGACATTGTCTCAACGTCGATGTTCGCTTTATGGCCTTCTTGTCTTTGATTGGTCCTTGCGATTTCATGATTTACAACGGATACTAGGTACAATATTTGTATCTTTCATCAGGTAGGACAAGTGTTCCACGTAATACTGGTCAAATCCTCCACTGGGTTCTGATTTTGAGATATCAGTTAGGTCAGTTTTTACAAACTCTGCCTTGAATTTTGTTTTTGAATAGATTTATCGGTTAAGGCCTGTTGTACTATTCGTTCCGTGGATTATGTTTTTGAATTATCGGCTAGGACCTGTTATACCAGTTCTCCTGTCATCACACCTGTCTAATATGGTGTATATTTATCATATGTGTTCATCGTTCAAGTTAATTTGATTATTTTATCAGCTCAGACCAGTATGTCCATTGATTGGCTGACTATGTAGACTGTGTTCTTTAATGTTTAATATGGAATGGAATGTCTTCTGTATTGTTTAATATGAGATGGGCTGTCTTCTGTATTGCTTATGAGTTGTGTTCATTCTACAAGGATTGGTGGCGATTATCCATTCTTTAAATGGCATTTAGTAATTATCCATTACTGAGTATATCATTCTTCTGACTTGTTTACTGTCGTCATTTCCTAGTGGACACAAGAAAAAGGATTTATATGAAAAGGTTTCTTTTCTCAGTTCATGTTTCATTTTATTGGATATTTGAATTTTGTTAATTTCCCAATAAGGTAGGTGATCTCTTGAAATGTGAACGTTAGAGCCAAGAGATTAGGTATATACCCAAGCTGTAACATTGGTCAGCCTATAGATTGTAAAACCGAGAAATTTTCTTAACATAATCAAAAGAAACGAAATGGGGTTTTAAAGTCCTACTGGACTGGGCTAACGACGACGGGAATACGCCATACAGTGTGCTACGAGGGAAATTCTGCCCGGACACCGGGGCCACGACATACACTTACATCGAATTCCAACTGCCAAGGGAACTTTTACGTGCACGCCAATGTGTACACGGAACCTCGGTTTTTTCGTCCCATCCGAACGACTATACGTTGTCCCTTACCAGGCCCTATGTCCTGCACCACTGACAAGTTTAGCGAACCAACGCCCTAATCACTGAGCCACCGTAGCTCTTTATTTCGTGCAGTTTATCGATCAACTGGGGGGTTGGATGGCTGAATGGTTAGCGTGCGCGCGCTGTATCATAAAGTCTGGCATTGAGTCGACTGGCGTGGTTTCGAATCCCCGGTTGTACGTGACAAGGAGTAGGGTCGCCTGTCCAACCTCGTGGGTTTTCTCCGGGTCCTCCGGTTTCCTTCCACTGCTAAAAACCCCTATGCGCAAGCGAATTATTGAAATAAAATTAAACCATATGTTAGTCCCGAAATGACCTAGTTGTGTCGAGTGGACGTTAAACCCCATCTCTCTCTCTTATCGATCAACTATATTGTCATGAATGAATCGGGTAAGTTTATAATAACCATTATTATGTATATAGTTGGTTCATAATCGCTGAAAAATCTCGACAACCTTTCTCGGCCAACGCAGGGATCGAACTGGTTAGCGAGCCAACGCCTTGTCTTACTCACCGAGCCATCGTAGCTCCCAATAATCATAAGGAAAAGTCTCTTTTAATTTACTTTTTATGTTCTCTGGAGTCACCGTGGCTCAGTTGTAATACTCTGGCTCTTGAGACAATTTTGGGTCTTTATAAAATTGTCTCTTCAATTTTGTCTATAAAGTTAAATCTCACGTACTTAATAAAAGTGGGTATAGTTATTCGTAAAAAACAGAGATATTTTGTTCAAATTATAATCATTGTCAAAATAGTCATCAAATTCTGGCTGTTTATTAACCTATGGTGGATAGACCAAAAATAGGTAATGTTTCATATCTTATTTGTGGGAAATAAAGAGTTTAATCCTTATATGGCGTGGAAATTAACGTCAAGGTTATCGAAGACCTGCAGAAATTAGGGGGTATAAATTAGGGTGTAGAGGAGAGCTAGATTAGACTCTCACCAGATTATTCCAAGAAGCCATTATATATTTGAGAACGAGGAACCTGCCAAGTTATTTCAAGTTTACCAATAAAGCTGTGAAACTATTATTACTGTAGTATTATTTACGATCACAAGGAAACACAAAAATTAAAGAAGTCCGTAGTACTACACAGTGAGCATGGTGTGAATTCACTTAGATGGAGACCTCGAGTATGATCCTAGTATTGACCGAGAATGTTCCAAGGAATTTCTAAATAGGTAATGGCAAGCACGGGTGTCTAGTTATTTAAACAATATTTTATTCACTTAAATTTACAAAATTTATATAATAGATATAGGATACGATAACAAGCTTTATCAGCTTATATAAAATCGCACGGGTGTCTAGTCGTTCGGAAGGCGGAAAAAACGATATCGCGCGTATACAATTGGTTGCACCTTAAAAATTCCTTGAATTTTGGAAATCGAAGTAAGATTAGGCCAGAGCTATCCGAGCAAAATTTCGTTCATAACCATAGCACGTCTTCATTATTAGCACGGTTGAAAAAATATAAGAAGACGTTAAACACCATTTCATTGTACTTACCTCTGTTCGTTGTCTTTTAAATTTCCACCTCCAGGGTAATTAGTTAGTTATTTTTTTCTTCACCATTTAAACCTATTTCTTTTAAATTTCCACCTTCAAGGTAATGGGTTAGGTATTATTTCCTCACCAGGTAAACATATTTCTGCGTATATGAATACATTAGCCGAGTGTGTGTGTGAAATAAATTAACTATTAGATTTAATTCCCACCATAAGGAAAGTCGTATTAATACGATATTAACAAGAGACGTCAACAACATGTGTATAAAAACAGTAATAACAGGCAAAGACAAGTTTTATTTCTCGCAGCATAATAATCATATTGAAGTTTGAATGAATATAGGAGTTAAACTATTAGATCTAGATAACTGCCCAATGTATACTAGTATATTTGTTTGTATATGAAAAATGTAAATGATTAGGCGACATATTGCATACCTTTTTATGTATTTGTATAGCGTGTGGAAGGTGTCTTTATGCTATTCGGGATTGTACGTTGATAACAATGGTCATAATGTATCAATTACCATTGTGATCTAATACTATATGATTTATGTGATCACGTGGTGAGAATATGATTATGGCTATTCCGAGGCTACTACCACTTCTACTTCTACTACTACTGCTACTATTACCACCACTACTACTACACCTGTTACTACTACACCTGTTACTACTACTACTACTGGTACGACTACTACTATAAACTACTACGACAACTACTACACCTGTTACTACTACTGCTACCTCTTCTACTACTATTACAGCTACTACTATAAACTACTACGACAACGACTACACCTGTTACTACTACTGCTACCTCTACTTCTACAACTGCTACGACTACTACTATAAACTACGACTACTACAACTACCAACTACGACTATTACGACTACTACTACTATAATTATGACTACTAGTACAACGACAACGACGATTACTACTAATACGGCGACTTCTACTACAATTACTACTACTACGACTAATCAGTATGATGAAATGCCGACAGAGAGAGAGAGAGAGAGAGAGAGAGAGAGAGAGAGAGAGAGAGAGAGAGAGAAATGGGGTTTAACGTCCACTCGACACAAACTAGGTCATTTCGGAACTAACATATAGTTTAGTTTAATTTTATTTCAATAATTCGCTTGCGCGTAGGGTTCTTTAGCAGTGGGAGGAAACCGGAGGACCCGGAGAAAACCCACGAGGTTGGAAAGGCGACCCTACTCCTTGTCACGTACAACCGGGGATTCGAATCCACGCCAGTCGACTCAATGACAGACTTTATGATACAGCACGCTAACCATTCAGCCATCCAACCCCCCTGAAATGCCGACACTTCGATCCTTTTATATAGGTTACACGTTCTGCCAGTCATTCGATTTTAAGTTTAATTGTGAGAATGATTAGTTGAATCTTCTCAGGTTTCTTTCTCTTGTTCACCACCCCGGAACGCAGGCAAATTATTGAAACACAATATACCCCATGTAATCGAATTGACATAGCTGATTTGAGTGGTCATTAAAACCCATTCCAATATTTTCAACCGGTGACACAATACAGTAAAATATTCGCATTTGGTCCATGAACGTTGCGAACAAAGAGAGTAACAATTAGGACCATGTTTCAAATAGTTTCATTACCATATCAACAAGCCAACGGTGAGGCTTATGTCCCCCGCCGAAATCCCAAAATAAATAGATGACACATATTAACTAATCGCACATTTATTTTTTTTTTACAAAAGTATCGAGCCATCAAACCATACACTAAATTGTATCACTCTATTAGGTAGAATCAAGATTATCTTGTCCCAAAGCATTGACCAATAAAATTGATTAGCTCTGCTTAGCTTCAGCTCGAAATGTTAATCATTGAATTCAGTCAAGACATTCGTCTAATGAACATCTACATTAAGTTTAAACATTCTACCTCAATTGAAAACCGAACTGTTATGATCCAACGTCTTGACCAATCAAATTGCTTATCGCTCCTTAGCCTAAGCAGAAAATTCTCTCTCACCATCGAACTTAGTCAAGGTAATGATATAATGTGTCTATATTCGGAGTTTCATCGCTCTCACTTCATTATAACCAAAGTTATTGTGTCCCAAAACCTCAACCAATCAGATTGCTTACCATAAGCAGAAAATGTTCACCATCGAACTCCATCAAGGCATTCACCTAATGAACGATTACACCAAGTGTAAACATTTAGAATGAGAGTTATTATATTCCAAATTGCTTATCAATTAGAATGAGAGTCATTATATTCCAAATTGCTTATCGCTCTGCTGACTCTGAGCAGAAAATAGTAGTCAAGGTATTGATGTAATGAAACTATACACCAATTTTCATCACTCTCATTTAATTAGAACTAAAGGTATCATATCCCAAAGCATCAACCAATCAAATTGCTTATCTCTGCTTACCCTAAGCAAGGCATTGACATAATAAATACCTACACCAAGTTTGAACATTTTAGAAAGAGGGTTTTTGTGTCCCAAAAAGTGTGACGGACAGATGAACTTACAGTCGGGCGAACCCATATTAATAGTCCCCTGCTTTCTTCGAAAGGCGGGGGACAATAAGCTTTCTTCTAATTTACAATTTATTCATTGATCATCTTAACACGCCCTTAATAAAAAAAAAACGAAGCCTATTCTAATACATTCCTGACTAAATTCTTTAAGCTATAATTTCATACTTTCTAAAAAATGAAAACAATTATTTTTATATCTGTTGCTTAAAGATGCATTATGTAAGAGCTAATTCTGCATAATTTGGCCTCAAATTTCCACAATCAATTCTCTAGACCATCGGGCGGTTGTGATTTTCAAAAGTTTTAAACACGATCGTCGGTTAATAATTAAATTAAAAAATGCAATAATTTGTTTATTATCGTAACAACGGTAGCATAATGACAATAAAGACTACTACACCGTTCTTCAAACGGCTATAATTTCTCTCAGAATTAAGTACTAGTAAGTTTTTATTAACTATTAGAATTGACAGTTCTTTATCGAAATCTTACATAATGCATCCTTAACATTCCTTTTATTTATTTATTTCCTGGGGGGTTGGATGGCTGAATGGTTAGCGTGCGCGCGCTGTATCATAAAGTCTGGCATTTAGTCGACTGGCGTGGTTGTACGTGACAAGGAGTAGGGTCGCCTGTCCAACCTCGTGGGTTTTCTCCGGGTCCTCCGGCTTTCTCCCACTGCTAAAGACCCCTATGCGTTAGCAAAGTATTAAAATAAAATTAATTAAACCATAGGTTAGTCCCGAAATGACCGAGTTTGTGTCGAGTGGACGTTAAACCCCATTTCTCTCTCTCTCTCTCTCTCTCTCTCTCTCTCTCTCTTATTCAATTACCTTGACAGTAGTGCTGGACAGAGGACATGGCTGGTAAAAAACCGCGCCTTGTCGTTCGGATGGTACTCCCAAAAAATAACCAACCCGCGTTGAAATTCGACGACGACATACTGCTGCCCGGTGTGGGAGCACCTTTACTGGACCCGTATATATAGAACGTTAAACTCCATTTCATTTCATTTCTTTGTAAGTCGCTTAGGTCTTTTAATTTCTAACAAATTAAATAAAATGAAGTTACATTTATTTTAAATGGGCTGTAAACATGAAATGAGTGTAAACGCCCTACTTTTCTGCATGTGGAATAGTTTGATTTAACGTCCGCCTCGACCGAAGCGGACGTTAAATCAAACTATATCCCAGACAATTACACGTTAACGCAATGCTTCCCATAGCCAATTAAAACCACAGAGTTACTATTATAAATATCTCTGAATTATAGTATGCTGTTCACCTCTATACTATGCAATGACATTATTAATGAACAGTCCCAAGACGGATGAAAGATACTTCAAAATATCAAAATACAAATCAGTGTTGAAACCAGTTTGTGTCGGCATACCTTTTATCTTTGCATCGTTTACTGTAAAACAAAGTAGTTCAGTTTTACGGTCGGGTGCTAATATATAAACGGCCTTCTCTTATATCGAATTCATTCCAACTGTCAATGGTTCTTGTACACTGGACCGATGATCTTTCTCGACCAGCATCGGGAGTGAACACGGATCCCCCAAGTTGCCGAACTAACGTCTTATTCACTGAACCACCGCGGCTCTCCCAGTTTAATGGATATAAATGGTATACTGTATATAGTTTTAAAATACAGATGTGACGTCATCCTTCGGTGTTGGCCTACCATTATTTCAATTCATGTGCCAAGCGTGTATTATTTATACTAGTTGAACTATTGGACTCGCGTGACATATTTCATTGAAATGCATGTGCTGAATAGTGTCTGTATTTTAAGTTGTTTAATGGTCTCGTGCAAGACATTGCCTAGATATCAATATATTGATTAATGTCTCGCACTAGACCATTAAACTACACATATTTAATTCGTGTCATGTGATATATGAACAGGTTAGTCTGACATACGTGATATAACTGTTCTATATTTAGACTATACTATATCTATTGGTGTCAGGGTGTATGAGATATGGTGACATATATTCAACAAGCTGTTGTGTATGGCGGTATATTAGTGCCAAAATTCTAACATGCTATCGTCTAACTTCTAACGTGCTATCGTCTAACTTCTAACGTCTATTCGTGTAACTTCTTATCTAAGACAATGTATATTCTAATTTCTTCATTTGTTCCTCGTAAATGGGGCCTTCTAATCTTGCAATTTTTATTCTATTTCATGTTATTTCTATTATTGTAAGGACAAATTTTCATTTCAACAACGCTTAACATGTTTAGAATGAACATTGAACAAATTAAGAATTTGATACGTCCACCTAGCAACCGTCATTATGACATCGTTTGGTGTCGCCACTGTATGCGCAGCTATCCACGCAATTACTGCTCACGGCCGGAAGTTTATACTGTTTTACGACAACAATTACGAATAACGGCATTGGCACAACCGGCTAAAAGATGTCAGATTCAATTGCCAAATCGAAAGCTCTGAATCTTTTAAAGCAGGCCGCACAGGCACTTACCGAAGTATCAGAATCCCAACAAACAGATAATATTAAGAATAATAAACCCGAAATACATGTACCAACCTCACATGCTCCACCCATGGCATCAGAAATCAAGAAGCTTTTTTCCCCGTACAGTAGTTACAGCAGGCCTGGCACTAGGCCTAGTACTAAGAAACATTTCCCTGCCACTGTCACTTCAGTCAGTGGGCCTGTGAGTTTTTGGACGCACAGGTTCTCTGTAATAATTGACAAAGACCAGGTAGGTACTGACGCTTAGGCCTAGTTAAAGCGATAATTTCAATTTTCATATTTTCAAAGAACCGGAAATTCAAAACATAGATATAAATAATTATTTCTATGTCTTTTGCTCAATAATAAATAGGCGGTCAACTCACTATTATACGACCATAGTCATTATTCTCCACACTTTAAAATCATTGACACAGGAAATAATAACACAATTACCTCCCTTGTTTTTACATTCCCCGAATGGTATAGCTATCTTCAAACGTTTGAATTTAAAGTTGAAAATGATATATTTGCCAATTTCTCAACTGGCAATAGTGAATTATTGGATAAATAGGATTATTCTTTAACTAGGTAGGACTGTTTATAGGTACAATCTTTAAGGCTTTACTTTAATACATTTTAAAAATATAACTTAAAAATATGAAATTGCAACTTTGAGGTGCGAAATTTATATGTATTAATACTTGGTAGCATTTTACAATATTTTACATTTTACTTTGTTTTACGTTTAACACTAAAAGTAACGTTAACAACAGTATACAGAGTCTTCGACATCATGATATACACACAAATTATTGGTATGGTCCATTCTCGTCAATAGTGATGGTATCTTAGTACTGTGAAAATATGAGCCCTTGAATCACATAAACATAAGACAGTCAGTCACAGTGAATAATTTTAGAGAATGAGTTGTTGGTTGTATATGGCTAGCGATTGTGAGAACAGAGGAGGAAGACTTGGAGATACTGCAGACTGTGTGATGTAGCATGATTTACCCATATCCACCATTAAATTTCAACTCATAACTTATATATCGATATTTGAAATTGCATACACACCACGTTCTTTATTCCAAACCTGATCTACCATTATTTTGACTAATATCACAATAATCTATATCAATATTTGATAATATTCATTTCCTAAAGTTGAATTTTTATTTTCATTAAAAATCATAAAATTTTTAAGTTAAAATTCCCTCCTCAAAATGCGATCTCTAAGCAAGTATGGAATTTGTAACTAAGGGACATAACCCATGTATTGCTTCAAATCACTTGCTTAGAAATCACATTTTGAGAAACGTTTTTTTTAACAAAAACAATTGCCAATTTCAATTTAAAATACCAATTTTGACACAAAAACAGTGAATATATTAATTATCAAATATAGATATAAATTATTATTACCGTATATGAGTTGGAATAATGGTGGATCATGTAAATCGGGCTACTGAACTCTGAGATTAGACAGTGGAAAAAGAAGCAAGCAAAGGATAATCCTTTTACTGATTAGATTCCTGTTTAGTAATTTAATTGAATTTTGACTTTTTTTTTTCAGAATTTTGTACCTACTAGAGAACAAAAGAAAGAATCATTTGAAAATGGACTGGGTGAGAAAAAAGTAACATTTGAAAAAAATGACAACCCTCTGTACTTTAAAGAAAAATTGGAAAGTGTATTTCCGGCACTCAAGTCCTGCGGTGGATATGAACTTCTGCGAACAGACTTTGGCAGCAGATCGTCTTTGGAACTAATGATTCAGCCATCTACGGGCTTCCACACAAACTATTTAGCAAATGAGAGCTGTTTGGGCCAAGCAATGTGCTATGCAAGGCCAATCCAAAGGAATTTGGCCTTTGCCAGTGTATCTGTAGAAGGTGATGTAAGTTTTTTCTTTCATATTAAATTTAGTACATAATTCCTACATTGTACTATATATTGACCCTATCAATTGCATCCCCTGTTTTGGATTTTGCATTATGGTTTGCCCCATTTCTACAAATTAATAAGATCTTAATCATTTTTTTTTTTTTAATGTACTGACATTGATATATTTTATAACAGACAATCATGATGTAAGGTGTTTTGGGTTCGCAAATGAACCCATAAAAGTTTGAATTTAGTGGAGAGTAGGTAGGCAGATATGCAAATTTTCCCTCACAATATTATGTTTGATTTTATGTATTTGATACAGAAAAGTAGGACGTTAAAACCAATTTCATTTATCGTTTTCAGGATTTTAGCTGCCTCTCTTCTTGTTGTATTTCGTTATGATTGACGTCTGTATCTCTGCTGCTTTGGGAATATGGGCTGCAGTTGCAATGGATGCTTAAGGACAGACTTGGGAACATTCACTTGATTGCAATGTTTTGTGTGTACTGATGTGTCTTATGTATTGGTTTGTCTTCTTGGACTTTATTCAGCTATGTGTGGTGTTGTTCTTCTGTACTTTAAATTACCCATTGTAATTCTAGGACTTGTCTCAGGGACCAACTGAAGTATGTGTAATATGCAATGATGAAATACCCTTAAAGAATTTGAGGAGGCATGTAGAGGATTGTGATGTAAGTATTTAACATTCAATTTTAATTAAGTTGACATTTTCGCCTGTTGTGTTGTTCTTCAGGGATTATTTTAAACAATGACTCTTGTTATGATTACAGTGAAACTTACCTTACTACAAATTTACCTACATCAATACCATAACTAAGCTTGTTCCCTAGTGTGATAACGAAGACAAGTTGTCTTATTATTAATTTTTTTTTCAGTATATTGAGTGTATGCGCAATACTCTTTCCCGGGAGGGAAAGGTGCCTCTATCCCTAAGCCACATGTGCTCGCACCAGGAATCAAAACCATGATTGCAAGCCACTACCAGCTGGAGCTCAATGCGAGACACACTAGGCCATCCCAACCCCCAAATCAGTAATATGTGTCATCTTTTTATTTTGAGATTTAATGCGCAGGCATCAGCCTCACTATTGGCATGTTACATTTTATAATAGAGCAACTAGTATTATAATGACCAATTCATCTTTAATCTTGCAAGACCTTTCATTTTTCTTTACTTTATGTATTTTACTTGCGTTCTTATATTTAATGTAAGTTGAAATGTCTTTCATTTACTTTCAGAAAAATTGTAACAATGATGATAATGACCTAGATATTTTACCAGAGATCAATTTTAAGCCAATGAAGAAGTCGCAACAACCAATATGCAAGTATACTTGTGTACCGGTATGTATTTCACTTATAAACTATTTATGACACTTGTAAAAAAAAAGATTGTTTTCATACTAAAATGCAAAAGGATATCTTTGATTGGTGCATTATTATTTAAACAATCTGGGCCGGTTCAGAAAAATAGGATGTTAATCCCCATTTCAATTCACCGTTATCCCAATCTAAATCCAGGGAAATGTTTGATGCAACTAATAAGGGTGTTAATTTAATTTATTTTTCATGACTAGAGAATTGCAATGAATTTAAACAGACTTAATACTTTGGTAAATTTTGATCAACTTTCATAAAATCTACCCAGTTGTATATTTTACTAAAATGGTTGTCACAGTTGAGGTTTATGATATAAGCTTCAAATTGCTGTACAAAAATAACTCTTCATGTCTGATTATGGTGGAAGTGTTTACTGAACTTGTTATTTCAGGCAGTGAAATGTACAGAAAATTTAGATGAAACTCCGGCAAAGTAATTTGAATGTGTTATTAATAGTCTGGTATAGGGTGCCCCACCATCAAAAAATATCTCCAAACATATTGATAATAATGCCAAAATATTCATATATTAATTTGAAAGATGTATATATTTACACTACCATACTGCTGATTATCTCTGTTGTGTAATCACTTGAGAGCTCATCATTTGAGGGTAAACAGCAGTTATTAGAGCAAATTTTCGCTGCGTGGGGCACCTTATCTATGTTTTATTTTACGCATTGTTGAGATTCACTATTCCCATTCATACTGGCACTTGTTATGTTTAATATCACGATATGTTCACATTTTATTGTCCCCCGCCTTTCGAATAAAGTTGGGACTATTAAAATGGGTTCGTCCGTCTGTCTGTCTGTCCTTCACACTTTTTGGGACACAATAACTCTCTTCCTAATTGAGCTAGAATGTTCAAACTTGGTGTATGTGTTTATTAGGTCAATGCCTTGATGGATTTCGAAGATGAGCATTTTCCGCTTAGGGTAAGCAGAGATAAGCAATTTGATTGGTTGATGCTTTGGGACAAGATAACTTTAGTTCTAATTAAGTGAGAGTGATGAAACTTAGTGTATAGTTTCGTTACAGTAATACCTTGACTAAATTCGATAATGAGCATTTTCTGCTCAGGGTAAGCAGAGCGATACGCAATTTGATTGGTTGAGACTTTGGAACACAATAAATCTCCTTCTAATTGAGTTGGGGGTTGGGATGGCCTAGTGGTCTAAAGTGCCACGCTTTGACCTCTAGCTGGCCGTCACCTCTGGCTTGCGGCTGTGGTTTCGAGCCCTGGTGTGAGCGTATGTGGCATGGAGATAGGGGCGCCTTCTTAACCTCGTGGGTTTCCTCCAGGCACTCCGGTTTCCTCCCACTGCTAAAGATTCCTACGCGCAAGCGGATTGTTGAAATAAAATTAAACCATATGTTAGTCCTGAAATGACCTAGTTGTGTTGAGTGGATGTTAAACCCCATTTCTCTCTCTCGCTCTCTAATTGAGTTAAAATGTTCAAACTTGGTGTATATGCTTATTAGGTCAATGCCTTGATGGAGTTCGAAGATGAGCATTTTCCGCTTAGGGTAAGCAGAGATAAGCAATTTGATTGGTTGATGCTTTGGGACACGATAACTTTAGTTCTAATTAAGTGAGAGTGATGAAACTTGGTGTATAGTTTCATTACAGTAATGCCTTGACTTGGCTTGTTTATTCTTAATATTGTTTTTAATGACATTAACTAGAAGATAGTTGAGAAAAAGTACAAAGAATAACTCTTCTTCCAATTGAGGTAGAATTAATGTTCATACTTGGTGTGGATGTCCTTACTAAGTTTGATGATGTGAATTTTAGCCTAAGGAACATAATAACTCGGTTTTAAGATGTTGATCAGTTAAATGCCTTGACAGAGTTTGATGATAATAATTTTCCGCAAGGACTGAGCAGAGATATGCAATTGGGTTGGTTGATGCTCTGGGACATGATTACTTTGATTCTAACTGAGAGAGTGATGAAACTTGGTGTATAGTTTCCCTAAATCAAAACCAAGACAAGTCTGGGTCATCTTTTCATTTGGGAATAAAACAGCCATAGTGTTAGATTGTTGAGAAAGAGTAATGAAACTTATGTATTTTCTTTTGTGAATATTTTCTGCTCTGGTTTAACAGAGTGATAACTAATTTGATTGCTCGATACTTTATTACGAGACGAATGTGAAACTTATTAATGTTTATTTTGGGATTAAGATGGGAAGATCAGCCTCTCTATTGGTTTGTTTTATTTTCAGATGTTCGTTTTGTATATTATATGTTGGTATTTATAAGTTATATCTTTATTGGATTATGATTTAAATATTTTTCAGAATCAACTATGTTCAGTGTCCGCTGTGTCAAGACAGTTTTAATAAAGATGTCATAGAAATTCATTCTTCAACCTGCAATGGTCTGAGTGAAAGGTATATCTGACCTCAATCTGTTGAACATTTGCATTAATAGTATGTTATGATGCCTTGTATTTAACTGTGAAATTGAACTGAGAAGATCTATGGGTCTGTACCGAAAACTTTATTCTTATTTGTATTGTTTATTTTTGCATTTTCTTTTCTGAGAAACTTGTGTTTTCTCTATGTTTTCCCCATCGCAAACCCCTAAGCGTAAGCAAATTACTGAAATATTATTATACCACAGGTAAGCCGGATAAGCCTAGAAATTACCAGGTTTTTCTTGAGTAGACTTTAAACCTTCTGTCTCCTCTCCAACAAAGTCATATAAATCAAAGTATTAAATTGAAGCCTTGAATGAAAGTTTTGCAAGTAAGAGTTGAAATAAATTTTCTATTTTTTTTTTAGTGCTGGGGAGAATGACAAACAATCAGAAGTTGTGACTGCCTTAAGGTAAATGACTGGAAAATTTTAGTGTAACATATTTAAAGATGCAATATTTAAGTGCTAAATCTGTATGCATTATTTAAGTGCCAAATCTGTCTATTGCAGATGTTTTGTCTGGCTTCAAATTAACTATAAATTATTATTTAGACATTTATTCACATGACTTCATAGATTGTTGTAGCATTGGCACTTGATTATCAAGACGATTTAGGCTAAATCTTGTCAAACTTCATACATTCGTAACTTCATTTGGCTGTGCTAATGAAGATGGTTATACTACATACAGTGTGTGCTATGAGGGAAATTTAGCCTGAGCAGGCACTATGGCCTTTTCTTATATTGAATTCCAACTGTCAGTGGATCTTTTACATGCACACTGAGATATACAGGTGATGTCAGATTTTTGTCCCATCCCAAAAACTAGACAGTTGCCTCTGACAAGCCCTCCATCTTGCACAATTGACAAGGGGAAACCATGCTGGGAAATCCCAATGAACTTTCTCAGGCAATGCAGGGATCGAACAAGTTAAGAATAAAGTAATTATGATTAAATTTTTTAAACTATTAACGTTGAAACGTCCGGGTCTTCAGCTAAATCTTACATAAAGTAACAGAAAAGCGATAAAACTGTTAGTTTAGCTTGATACAGAAAAAAATGGAGGACAAATTTGAAACATTGATAGCATATTGCTATATATTCAAGCTGGGTCACACTAATTTCTAAATTATTTTTGTATTTGTAGTATAAGAAGCGAAGATGAAAATGTACATCGTGAACGGTGCCTAAAAGAAACACTATTGGAAATGTAGGTATTAAAATAGAAATACTTTAATCCCATAGTTTATTCTTGAGGTTTTATATGCAAGAATTTCAAGAAAGTAGGTCTTATTGATTGCCTGCTGTTTAAATTATTAATTATTGTATAGCCTTTTTCACATGGTTGTAATATTTTGGTCAAACTTGCATTGATTGAAATTTCCCATTACTGTATTCATACCAAATGCTTATCTTTGTCTTTCATTCAAATTTCATTCCGGTAATATTCAGTGTGTATTTTGATATGGGTTGTGTATCTCAATGAAATGAAGAAGCCTGTAGATTTTCAACACTTATCGATAATTGTCGATCCCTGAAATTTATATTAGTTGTCTATCATCGTAGGAGGAAATAATATAACTTTCAGTGTTGTTTGCCTTTGCTACAAAATATTGTTAGATCCTAAAATGCTTGAAAACAATTTTTTTGCTTTTGAGCTCTCATTTAATTATGATCTGCTCTTTTTATCCTGCACCAGACGAAGATAGGGATGGATATTGAAAAGGGCACCTCTGTCCCGATTTTGTTTCCGGAGCATATATATATAAATTGTTCCAGATATTTTTTTAAACTGTGTGTGTACACACTTCAACCTATTATAGTAGTTGTGCCTTTTCCTACTTAGGAATTTTTTTGGATTTATATTTTTTTGTTTCCATGGAATGTTGATGACCTAAGTCATCTTGTTGAAATTTTTTATGCGTTGTTTAACCCATATCTGTTTGGACGACTAGGGCAGTGGTGGGTGTATTTTTGTTGCCAACAGTCATTGTTTGAAACTTTTGTTTACCTCACAGGTGTGATATAAAAAGTCCGGATCTCATTATAAGTACATATAGCAAGAAATTTATTAGAGGGAAGAAAATGGATGTACTTGAAGAAGATTATGACAGCAAGGAGAATACAGCTTTTGAAATATTCATATCACGTGATGATATTTTTAATGACATGTTATCAGAGTTTTCCAGAAATGTAGATATATCCTATTTGCTAGACGTCACTTTCATTGGTGAAGAGGCATCTGACATGGGAGGACCCAGACGAGAATTTCTTACATTAGCTCTGCAAGCCATTAAAGAAAGATTGATAAAAGATGGCTATTTAGTATCTGAGAAGGATATTGGACATGAAGCATACTTGACATTGCTTCACAAAAAGGCTTTTGAAATTGCTGGAATTGTTGTTGGTAGGTATATAAGCAAAATTATGACTTAAAAATATATTATGGTTAGATCATTTTATTCTCATAGCATTAATTGGCCTTTAGTTTTTAGTAACTTCCATAACTTTGCATATTCGCTAAAAACTTAAAATTGGACTTTCCATCTTTACTTTCAGGATTGTCTTTATTAGAAGGTGGACCAGTGCCTTATTTGTTAAATGATCCAAGGGGAGTTCTTCTGACCCCAGACACACAAGAAATGAAACAATTTAGTATTGGATTGAAAAGAATTGGCATTTTGCAGGTATTAAAGTTTAATGTGTTATAACAGTGTTTAAATTATAATTATTACAAAATTGACATAGCGCAAAGATGTATTCAAGGGCACTTTACAGTGCAACAAAATAATAGTTGTTATAAGCCTTTAAAAATAAGAAAGTTTAAATGTCTCTGGATTGCGATCAATTCACATTGTGTACATATGTGTACAGCACTACCCTGTGTTACACTATTCCAGTGTGACACTGTCAAGTGTTTCATGGCAGCCAACAGGAACTAATCAAGGAAGACTGAACCCCGTCCACCAGGATGGCAGGGCACTCTTACTAGATTGGTCACTTTGCAAACACAGTTTACTAATATGGATACTGCTTGCCCCAATTTCTCAAAAGGCTATGACTAAATCCTCCTACATGATGGTTGATGTTGCTGACCTAGTTTATTTCCATGAGACCTAATTTACCCAAAATATCATCCGCAATCCAGATAGACCACCCATTTTAAGCAATTACAAGGTTAACAAATAACCTAAATACACCTAGCAGAATAGTGTATTTTTATATCTGATAACCAGATAAAATATGTATTACCAATATATATTTCAGTTGTGCCAAATTAAGAAAGATCTAATGTCTTTGTTCGACATGAATAATGGGAAAACTTTGCTGCTGACCTACCCAACATTAGTTAAGTTGTTAAAAGTAAAATTTTCTGAGGAAGGTTCGAATGGGTATATCCAAGAAAAGAGTATGTACAGATTCTTCCTCGACTACATGAAGGAGGTGGCAGGTATATTTATTTCTTGTATTTTAAATAGTTGTTTCAAATCTGAATGGATACTAGTATGGACCCCTTGTCAGTGATCAGATCATTGGGAGGAAACCCCAGAACCCTGAGAAAACCCCAAGAGGTTGGACAGGCGACCCAACAACAGGTAATTGGAACCACACCAGTCGTCGCAAAGACAGATCTTATTATACAATGTGCATGCGCTAACCATTCAGCCATCCAACCCCCAGGCTGAAAAGGAAAAGAGTGACTAGTCCCTCAAATGATACAATGAACCCTGGTTCTGTCATATCTAAATATTAAGGCCACCTCCAGATTTTGTCTAGGGCTAGGGCTTGTCCTGTTTACATCTTGTGACCATGATGAAATATGGAGGTAGCCATGATATTTAGATCTAACCCCAAAGTCCTGCTTACAAATTGACAGCACAATTTAAACATCTGGGGGCAACATTTCCCACATTGCTCATCTAACCATGGAAAGAACATATGCAATGTGTTGGACCTTTTATTACCCAGGCATTGATTGAACAATAAACCTTAGTTCATTTCTTTGCACAGTAAGACTGTTTGAATGAATAGATCGTGTTACTTTCAAGAATATTTTTCTTTTTCAGCACACAGACGAGGAAGTATACAACTATCAGACATACTTAAATTTATTACAGGTATAGATCAAGTACCAATTCTGGGCTTTACAAACACTCCGACAATTGAATTTACCGCCAGTGATACTCTATTGCCAACAAGCAGTACATGCACGTGTACTCTTAATCTATCTAGGAAGTGCGATGTTACAAAAGACATAGTGTTTAATATGTTTGATTATGCATTTGCTAATAGTTATTTTGGTCTAGTTTAATCAGTGTACTGGAAAACAAAATGACTGTCTGATTTTGTGTACATTTGGTTTATTTTAAGTTTTACTATTTTAAATTCTTCCCATAATTTGGCTTATTATTGAATTTGAAAAGTACCAATGTTTTGATTTTTTGTGCCTATATGTCGCATATTGTTATCACCCTGTTTTTATGGTCATGAGTAACGAAGCCTTTTAATTTTCACAAGTATCTAATACAAGTAAATTTTTTGGAAAATTACTTCATGGGTTTGTTACTCTTGATCAGTTTTTAATGTTTGTAAATCATCCATGGGAATATTTTTCGTTACTTGCCAACCTGCACATATCTTTATTAATTTTTGTACATTTGTCTTGTGGTGTTTGTCATTCATTTCATCAATCTATTGAAATTCATTTAATCAATCTATTGAAATTGATTTAATCAATCTATTGAAATTCTCATATTATTCTTTAGAAACATTTCTGAGTGTCCTGACAGCATGAAAATAAATGGTTTTTAGTCAATTTTACTGTTATTGCAAATATTAAATTTTGCTACTTTAAAAATAAAATATGTAACAAAAAGTTTGTTTTAAAGTTTTTAATTGTGCTTTAAACATACACTATGCAAGAGCTAAATCTGATTATTGCAAGTCTTTATTTAGGTTTCAGATGTCATACATGTAGAAATTATAAATTAGATCTTTATTTACACAAGCACAAAATCATCTCTGTAGACCCACGATTGGCTTGGATTCGTTGTCTACTTTAATTTTTAAATGGCGTGGTGGGCAGGGTTTAACCGTTGACATCATACTCCCGGGTCGAGGCTAAATGATAGAGTGTATGAGGCCGCTGTTTAGCGAGGCCTCAACAAATGACATCTAAACTATTTAAAGTGCAATAAACTAAACACAGATAATGACAAATAATACAATTCCTGGAGACCATGTGATGACTAATACAGACGAACAGGTCTTCTATCTTAATGATATCAATAAAAAAAAAATTATTTCCCCAACAGGCACGACGCCCCTGGTGTCTACCTATAGATTTATCATAATTGTATTATAATATTATGTCCTATATTCACTTGATTTAACGCATGCCCAAATTACAGGTAAGAATGGAAATTTACTGTCTCATTCATTTTATCCAATAGTTATAAAAATCCAAAAAGGTAAAACACAAATTCGGATATGATGACACTGACAAAAGACAACAAGATTATGTAGGTGGAGTTAACACATGTCAATCAAATGATCGGCCATGCTAAAAATCGGTGAAGATGGAATTCAATCCCATTTCTAGTCAAACATGACACTGGTAGTAACTATGTTCAGAATAGAGTAATTTGACTGAAATTTTCAATATATTCTTTCATCATCTATTTTTGAACTGTTATAGCAAGAATAGTTAACTCCTTATAAAAAATCTCCCATAATGTATCTTTAAGTACATAAACATACATATTATGTTCTACACATTATTGGCAATTAAAATATCTCTGCATCTGATGAAAATGTCTATACCATGCGATTCGGATTCAGCTAACGGGTTTACCATCATCAACTGTTCAGTTGGAAATTCTGTTGAAGGAACCTCCACTGGATCAAAAGTATGGCCTGACATTGAAACACCTTCTTGACTCCTCCCATAATCTTGCAATTCATTCTGTTGAAAAATAAAGTTTGTCTTATACTTCCCAATCTTCAAAGGAACTATCATCAGCATGAGTAATTATAATTTGTATGCTCTAGTTACGACTCTACATTTTAAATTAGCAATAGATGGAAATAAGCCCAAATATACTGTAATGAGGATCCTTCATATCTTTGAGAAATAAAGGGAAGGGAGGAACAAAAGGTTGCGAAATGCTAAATATTGATGTCGTTCGTCCTCTCATGACCCCTATGATTCTCATCAAAATTAACAAAAATCAGGTTGTTGGGTGGCAACATTATATGCCCATACTGAGATGTGGGTGTAAAAAAAAATAACAGATGTTTAAGGTAGCAATAAGGTGTACCTCTTGTAAATCTATAGTTGAGTGGATAATCTGCCCTGCAATAAACAGTTGAAGAGGAGATTTATTATGTTCTGTCCTCAATGGTCTTCTCTTGAAAGCTTCACAAAATTGGTCAAGACTACGTTGAATTCTGGGTAAAAATACATAGTGCAAGACTTGAAGATGAAGTTCGTCTGTAGGTACAAGAATGTTGTTGGTTTCCATATAGCAGAATAGATTGTAAAATACATTAACACAACCACACCACAGATCCCTCCAAAATCTCTCAATTCTACAATAAAAACAATTCGCATTATTTTTCTGGGGATCAACGAATCACAATCTCTGTTTCAATGAAATAATACACTTGTATATTCAGACATTGAGACCAAGAGTCAATCTGGTTCTCTTCCTCCCCTGGTTCATATTAAAAACCAGATATACACATATAGAGAGAAACTATTTCCCCATCTAAGTCGGTTCCCTCAACTGCAGGAAAATATCCACTGTCTAGCAACACCTGAATCAAACATCAACACACATGTGAATTCAAACTGGACAGGGATATGCTACCCATAGTAAACACACTGCATCCTTTTTTTGTAAAAACTTTCGTTTACAAAATTCTTCAAGTCACTCTCTTAATTAATGAAAATTGTTAAAGACATACACTATTACTGATATGTGAAGAGACAGTGGGGTAATATACTACCACATTTCAAGTTGGTGTATAAAAATAGGTCCCAGCTCAGACCTCAGTTTCAAATACCATTGAATGAAACATGGGTCATGCATGAAGTAGCTGAAATTTGTGAATCCTTTATAGAGACGGTAATTTAAAACTACAGGCTTTGGACAAATGTTGTAGGCTGTGTTCTCCCATTTCAAATAATACATGTTTTTAGAAAATATACCATACCTCTGATTATGAACACTCCTTCCTGTTATATGACTACCTCTTCCACATCCTTGAGCTCTCAGCATATACTCTGCAATACCAATATTTTCCCCACCTTTATCCGATCTCACCCTTTTGGGAACTCCATATTCATGGACAGCATGTTTAAAACAATCAAGGACGGTTTGAGACCTATTGTTATTATTAACTTTAAGATACACCGGAAGCCTAGAATATCCATCAATACCGCCATGAATAACAAAGCGCCAACTGAAACATAGAGCAAAACATATCTAACTTGTACTGTGAACATGTATGAATTTGCAATTAAAAATATTAAAATGCCTTTAAAATATAGACTTTCTGGACTACAAATAATTGTCTAATATCATTTTATATAATTATTAAGAAATCTGATTAATCAATCTTGTACATAGTAATGTGGTGGGGGAGCCACAGTGGCTAAGTGAGTAAAATCTTTGGCTTGCTAACCTGGAAATGAAATGAAGTAGGGTTTAACGTCCTACTCTTCTGCACCTAACCTAGGCTAATGGAAGACGGGCATATGCCATACAATGTGCTATGAGGGAAATTTTCCGGCTTCGGCCTACTCTTATATCGAATTCCAACTCCCAAGGGATCTTTTACGTGCACGCCCTTTTGTTAACAGGACCTCAGTTTTTTGTCCCATCCAAACGACTAGGCAGCTGTCCTTATCAAGCCCTCTGTTCTGCATCACTGACAAGCAGAAACCATTGCTAACCTGGAAGTCCCCGAGTTCAATCCCTGCATCAATGGCTGAGAAAGCTCATCTGGATTTTTCTGGACCTGTTCCAACATTAACTTCTAGTATTAATATACCTACCTGATCAATTTGTGATATCCATCTACATGCCACAAATAGTTTGGCCCAGGTACAGAATAAATTCTTCTTTGAATTGGACTTGAAGTCAGTTTTCGGAATACCACTCCATCTAGGTCAACTCTGCGAGAACTGTCACGCACTTTACTGACTGGAACTCTTAACCCAGAGGCTCTTAAATGGCTGCAGATGCTGCGATACCCAATATTTGGATATTGATGTAAAACTTTAATTACTTGTGTGTCAATTTCCTCATCTGTTATATCACTGTATAAGTTTCTAACAGATAAATCATATTCTGACATCCTTCTAAAAATAGTTCTCTTGCTCAATGAAAGTAAGTGCGCTATTTGTGGGACTGAAAAGTTGTTATCCAAAAGGTATTCCAATGTCTCTACTGGAATGCAAAATTTTGGTCTACCTCGTTGGCCAGTACTTGTCCCCACAATAGGGTGTCGTGTCTGTGTTACTACTTGATCCGTATTTAATCGATCCAGCTGATCCACTGCGCCACATAAAAAGTGCAAACACTGTAAAATTGCATGTGGCATCTCCTCGTCAAGATCATTGGAATTCGATGGACTGTTTATAACATCAGCAAATGTACCCATCAATATTTCCAAATTGTTCATAATGTCTGCTAACGAGTTATAGCTGTTACTTTCAAGTATATAAATAATACGTTGAAGTCGGCCACTTAAAAAGTTAATACATTCTTGGTGTTCCATCTTGAAGTTGATATCTTGTCATTTGTACATGCATGGACCGTATATCTATACGGACAATGCAAAAAGATGTTTACTTTTCTCTCACGAACTGCCGTAAAACGGTCTTAACTTCCGGCCGTGAGCAGTAATTGCGTGGATAGTTGCGCATACAGTGGCGACACCAAACGACGTCATAATGACGGTTGCTAGGTAGACGTATCAAATTCTAAATTTGTTCAATGTTCATTCTAAATTTGTTCAATGGTCATTCTAAACATGTTAAGCGTTGTCGAAATGAAAATTTGTCCTTACAATAATAGAAATAACATGAAATAGAATAAAAATTGCAAGATTAGAAGGCCCCATTTACGAGGAACAAATGAAGAAATTAGAATATACATTGTCTTAGATAAGAAGTTACACGAATAGACGTTAGAAGTTAGACGATAGCACGTTAGAAGTTAGACGATAGCATGTTAGAATTTTGGCACTAATATACCGCCATAGTTGTGTGTCGTGTTAATCTTTGTTCCCTTCAGCGTGTGTTATACCAAGGAATTATTCTGGTAACTGGTTATACCGAACACATACCGAGTCTGTATACAAGGAATAGAAAACAGTTTAAAAAGCTCGATGTGGTATATGTTTAGACATTATAAATAACCGTTGGTGGGGCAGTGAGTAACTCAATGGCTCGCTATTCTGGAGGTCCCGTGTTCGATTCATTGGGACTTTCCGGGGTGATTCCTGCTGTGAGGGGTGCAGGATGGAGGGCCTGACAAGGACAAAGTAGTGTACAGATAAACTACACAGACATTGCATGATATAACAACAAATATCAAGTCACGCGAATGGACCCGGCGGCTATCCGTAAGCGTCCACTGTGTTGTACAGTACCGGCTTTGTGATGAGATATACTTCACTCAAAATGAAGAAAAATAAAACCAAGAATGATTTACGAGTGTAGTTTGTACACGGTGAACAGTCCATATGCTGATTACACTATTTTGCCTGATTACACTATTTTGCCTATACCGTTCTTTTAGGACTTCGAATTTTGTCTAATTGTTTGGATTGTTCGTACATGGTTTTATTTTATAATAGAAATAATGTCACCGGTCTTAAAGTGGTGGTCGTCCCCTCCTAGTTCTATGGTCTTATGAACGGTGATAGTCTGTCAGTTGATGGCGTCAGGGGTTAGAAGGTCAACAAATTTAACAAAAAAAAAAAAACACAAATAAAGAAAACACAAAAACCCAACCCCGTCCCCACAAAAACCCAACCTCGTCCCTACAAAGACCAACCTCTTCCCCTCAAAAACCAACCCCGTCCCCACAAAAACCCGACTTCGTCCTCACAAACACCAACATCCCTCAATAACCAACCCCGTCCCCACAAAAACCCAACTCCATCCTCACAAAAACCAACACCGTCCCCACAAAAACCCAACCCCGTCCCCACAAAAAATGTACAAAATTAACGATGAATATTTCAGTCTACAAAAACTGAGCTATTATAGCAAAGAGATTGTTTATCAACAAGGACAGCTGTCTATTCGTTCGGATGGGACGAAAAACCGAGGTCCCGTGTACACATTGGCGTGCACGTAAAGGATCACTTGACAGTTGGAATTCGATATAAGAGTAGGCCGTAGTGCCGCTGTCCGGGCACATTTCCCTCATAGCACACTGTATGGCGTATGCCCGTCTTCATTATCCCAGTTCGGAGCAGAACTGTAGGACGTTAAACCCCATTTCAATTCATTTCATTCATTTCCAATTGGCCAGCAACAGCACATACACACTAGGATGGAGAACTCGAGATAATCTGGTGGTTTCTGCACGGAGATCATTGTGCTTTGAGGCTGAGTTACCTGTAAGAACAAACAAACAAAAATATAAGAATATTGTTACAAGTTTCGTAAATTATCTTTCTGTGTTTACTTGAATAATTAAATAGTAACAGTATATATCCATGCAATCTGATTGGTCAAAATTCTGACGTCATATCCGACGTTTGACTATATCAATATTCAAACCGTTTTAAGTTTTATAAAGGAAGATTGTTTTTAAATTGTTGTTATTTCTTTTTTGTGCAAAAAGATTTAATGTTGAACTACTTATTACCTAGATGGGGGTTTGGATGGCCGAATGGTTAGCACGTGCGCGCTGCATCATAAGGTCAGTCATCGAGTCAACTGGCGTGGTTTCGATTTCCCGGTTGTGTGTGGCAAGGAGTAGGTTTCCTCCGGGTTTCCACTGGGTTCCCCGGTTTCCACGCACTGCTAAAGACCCCTACGCGCAAGCGAATTATTGAAAAAGAATTGAACTATATGTTAGTCCCGAAATGACCTACTTTGCGTCGAGTGAACGTTAAACCCATCTCTCTCTCCCTCTCTCTCTATCTGTCTGTCTGTCTGTCTCTCGCCCTCTCTATTAGGTAGACACTTGAGGTCAGGAGTCCAACGAAAATGTTTTCTATATTCTAATCGATCTGAGTACACGGCCTACGGAGCCCTTTCGTGGTTGACACCGGCAGAGAACCCTAGGTTTGCCGGTTATTGAGTCGGCGCTTTAATCACCGAACTCTTGTGGCCGCTCGTCTATTTAAATATATAGGACCACACTACACACAAACAAAACCCATAAGACAATGACCGTAGACAAACTCCACACAGACATTAAGGAAGCCAAATTGTCGTGTAAAATCATACATAAACGTCGTTTTACTTTGAATAAGTTAGAGACACCACACAATATTTTACATGTATACATTTTATCTCGAATTACCTTTAATCAAGAAAAGTTGAAATGAGTGTTGTCTAGAGAGAAAATTTAAAACCAATTAAATTGAGGTAGATGAAATGACTACAGTCTAGAGATAAATTAAAAACATCACATTGAAAGTAGATGAAATGACTAGTCTAATGATAAATCAAAAACCAACAAATTGAAAGTAGATGAAATGACTACAATCTAGAAATAAATTAAAAACATTAAAATGAAAGTAGATGAAATGAATTTAGGTGACATGACTAAACATTAGCGATAAATAAAAAAACAAATAAAATGAAATCATACTTACAATAACATTGCCACCACCGGTTGAGTATTGCGCTTGAGAATATCCTTGCTGAGGGGGATATCCTTGTTGTAGAGCATATTGCGGGGGATATCCTTGGGCCGGGGGTAATCCTTGTTGCGGAGAGTTTTGCTGCGGAGGTACTGTTTCCTGTTTATTCTCTGAAAGATGCATTAGAAGAAAGAGCCTTTTAAAAAGAAAGTTGCATCTTTTCAATATTTTGACCAGGACACACAACTCTTTACTTGTAAAGATATTTTGACATAAGAAGCTAACGGTACTATTTTATTTTAGTTTCCAATAGTAACGCAGTGTTGTGAGATGTGATGCACGCAGTACCGGATTACTTGCGTCCGGTTTTCTTGGCCTTTTGCAGTAAATGACGGTCAAAAACCACCCGTAATGGTTGCGTCATCTGACATAAGAAGCTAATGGTACTATTTTATTTTAGTTTCCAATAGTAACGCAGTGTTGTGAGATGTAATGCACGCAGTACCGGAGTACTTGCGTCCGGTTTTCTTGGCCTTTTGCAGTAAATGACGGTCAAAAACCACCCGTGATGGTTGCGTCATCTGATGTACACGTTGCGTATGTCCCAATCTGATTAAAAAACAGATCTATATTTCGTTTCGTGTTTTTTTTAATACTTTTGATGGCCTCTACAACATGAAGATCTGATTGGTTATAGTGGGAAGTCGCGTCAGGGGTCATACGAGCGGCCTTTGGCTCTATGACGTCAGACATTTGACTAACCAATTAGCGCCGATGTTTCTAGTGGGATACCAACAGCTCCGTGCACCATACGTCAAGAACTCACGCAACAGGATGTTCCATTGGCTAATCCCTCACACCAACCAGAACGCCGGTAATATAACAACTCTACAAGATCCTAGTGTAGTAAAGAAAAGTAAAACGAAGTGTTGAACTATAAAAAAATCGAAACGAAATTTAATGAATTATAAGGAATACAGCACGACTCGGGTCAATTCTTTCGACTTCAACTTATTCACACCCCGACAACAGGACAGAATACATTTTTTGGATTGTAATAAATCTTTCAAACTATTCTTGTGATAAAGATGTTCTAAAGCTCAATTAACGGAATTTAATTAACCCACTAGGTTATGACAGTGTTTGTATTTTCGATGATTATACCAAGTTACTTTTATCTATTTATTTTCCTTGTCAGTAGTGCTGGACAGGCGGTCTGGTATCTATTTATTTCCTTTGTCAGTAGTGCTGGACAGAGGGCCTGGTATTTATTTATTTTCCCTGTCAGTAGTGCTGGACAGAGGGCCTGGTAAAAACGGCTTCTTGTCGTTCGGATGGTACCAAAAAACAAAACTCGAGGTCACATTATCTTTCACGTTGAACTTCGACGACATACTGCTGCCCAGGGTCTGGTAATCAACAGCGTATCTAGTCTTTCGGATGATACGAAAAGAAAATTTCGTGCCCGTTTGCGACTACTGACAAGGATGATAAGCATGACTTTGGCCTCAATGAGTTGAATCCTCCAGTGCCCTTGCATAGTGGAACACGCCACTACCCCTTGAACAACCATCGTCTTCATGTTGTGGTGTTGTCGGATCATTTCTGTAGCTTTCATTCACACCCCGGCATTAGGACAGAATACAGTTTTTGGGACTGTGATAAATTTCAAGCTCAATTAGCGGAATGTAATCAACTCACTAGATTATGATATTTTTGTATTTTTGATGATTATGCCAAATTACTTTTATTTATTTATATCCCTTGTCAGTGGTGCTGGGCAGAGGGCCTGGTAAAGAAACCAGGTAACTTGTACACATTATCTTTCACGTTGAAATTTGACGACGACGAAGAACCGACATACTGATGACCGGGTGTGTAAGCGCCTTCACTGGACCGGTATATTTAGAACGTTTGGGCGTTAAAACAACATTTCGTTTCATTTCATTGTGAGACTATACTACGGTCCTTTAACTTACAAATGAAATAAAATGGGGTTAAATTAAATAATTTATATATATATATATAAGGCTTTATTTAACGCCCGTTTCTACCGAACTGATATCGCAGACAATTGCATTGCTATATATCGAATTCCAACTGCCAAGGGTTCTTTACGGGTATGCCAATGTGTACACTGCACCGATAAACTTTCTCGGTCAACATAGTAATCGAGCACCTCGCCTCCCAGTTAACGAGCAAAAGCCTACTCACTAAACCATCGCGGCTCTCCCGGTTTAATGTATACAACTGCTATACTGTATATAGTTTTATTTAACGCGTGTCATGTGATGTATAAACAGGTTAGTCTGACACGTGACATAGTTAACATTGTTGACTGTTCTATATTTAGACCATACTGTATCTACTTGGAACATGGTGTATGGGATATGATAACATATTTACAATAAGCTGTTGTGTGTAGAGTTCA